TTGCTAGAGGGTTAGCATTTGCTATCATTTGGGTTTCTTCTGAGTCTTGGCCTTGCGAAAAAAGTGAGATTTTATCTTTATGTTCGATTTTTTAATGTCTCTACGAATAGCCTCGGAAGAAAATTCAAATATTTAATTATCGTTTCCCGCTTCATATACACTTCCTGTGGGAGGCGGAGGTACTTGGGAAATAGACCAAGAAGTAGCAAGTGCCAACAGTAGCCACCTGTTGGCAAGGCCGTTCATGGTTCTTTCTTTTGAGAACTATATAGAAACAAGCGCATGGCGAAAAATGGGTTAGTTAAGAAGTAAGCACCGGTGGTTTTGAATCAGAATTTTCATCGGCTGTAGTGCATCCTGAGCATTGGTCAAATTTCCAGTCGTTTCGACCGCCATTTGCAATAAATGCCGAGAATTTTACGTTCAAGCCGCGCGTGCAGAAGCTGAATGAAATTGACGCGTTGATCCGAATTGAAAATATGTTCGATACTCAGTTGGCCGCGTACTGGAGATCGCAAGGACGAACCTTTTCAGCAGAGTGCATCGGGAGAAAAATTGTCAATTACTTCAGACTTTACAGGGTTCGCATACTTGCTTTCTATTTCATTTAAATAAAAGAGGGTGATGAATAATCTTATGAAGGTGCTGAATAATGCTACTAACGCACAAACACTTGCGAATGCACTAAACTTCGGAAAGTCCCAAAAAAAAAAAAACAGTTTTTTCAGCCTCTTTCTTCCGTATTTCTATGCGTAGTTTTGGTAAAATGTCCCGTCCAATGCCTTAGTCATAAAACTGAGCGGGACATTTCACCAGACTCTGCATAGGTTTTTTTTAAAGAATTAAATGGGTCTTAAATTTGCAGTCTAGTAAACGGCAGTTTCCTTCGTACCGACATTCTATAGGCGGAGAAGGCACTCGGAAGTAGCTTAAATAGGAGCGTGTGCCATCAACAACTACCCGCTGATAAGGCTGTCAATGATCCCATCTTTCAAGGCGTGCTTATCAGCGCAGAGATATCGGTTTCGACTCTCTAGCGTTCGGAAGTGCCGGTATGAACGGATTATGGAGGGGTCACTGATCCCAGTGCTGGAGTCGAACCTTCGGCGTTCTGCAGCGCATTTTACTGCTGGGCCAAACCCTCTAACAAATGCGTCAAACCTGCAAAACAAATAAGGGCGTTTAACATATCTTTGGCGTGTATTAGCTGATGCTTGGAAATTTTCAGTACGTTTCACGTGAAGGTGGATCTCGCGCTGTAGACGCAGCCAGCAAATGGGATGTGGTAGCGGAACAGCTTGGATTCAATAGGAAGCGTGCCATGGCCGTCAGAAAGATCTACTTCCGATGGGTGCACCCTTTTCTTGCAGTTGTTACTGTAAGCAATTTATTACACTTATGCTTTCATGCCTCGTTACATAAGCTTATAATCAGTGTGCAATTGCTACATGGACAGCGTCTTATCCACGGATGTTAGGTAACGAATTTGGGGACTTAAGAGAAGATGGATATGTCAAACGGCCTTATAAGAACTCCACACAAGCAACACTTCCTCAGTTTAGCAGATACAGATTGCTTAAAAATTTACAGACTGGCTCATTTTAGCTGTTAGCAAGGTTTGAGGAGTATTAACATATTCCAGTCTTTCCTTGTGTTTCAACTCCAACATGTTAGCGTCTTCCTGAACTCCGCATTTTCTGAACTTACCTATTCATAGTTCTGTTAAGATGATTTTTCCCCGTTTAACAGCAGAGTAAGAAATCAAGTCAGTCGTGCAAAGTGCAGTCTATGTATGAACAAAATACCATTGTATTTTTAGCAAAATGGAAACGATAAAGATCTCGGCGACAAGGACAGTGATAGCGAAAATGCAGGTTTGTGTGCAGGAGCTAGACAAGTCCCGAAGCCAAGGACAAAATCAATGGCTGGATCCCGGCGTCGAATTAGTGAGTTAAGACCACCCTGAATTTCCCCACTGAACTGCAAGATTTATTCGCGTTCGTCGCTGTGATGCCGAAAAGCTGTTTTCCGAAATTTCCTTTCGTTTCAGAAGAGCAAAAAAAGAGAGGAGCGCCATCTCGACTGCCTGATTTGACGTGCAAGTTGTGTGGATCCAGCGAGAACCAGGAGGACCTTATGCACTGCCAGACCTGTGATTCTGTCATGCACATTGCCTGTTATCATCCGATGTTCTTATCTCGCCCAAACGGTTTATTTGGTGCTTTGTACTAACTTGCACTACCGTGTTACTTTATTTTCGCGTTGCACAGGTTCTGTTTCAGGGAAGTGGGGATGCCTTACGTGCACAAGAACACTTCTAAAAGTAGTTGCCGAAAGTTATGCGTTTGATGACGACACTACGAATTACAGCTTGGCTACTTTTACGCATTATGCAAATGATTGGAAATCGACGTATTTTGGCAAAAATTTTTCAGTTTGTCATTTCATTTTTAGGCCGCTTGTAGACTGCCTGTTTTCTTTATTTTGCTTGGAACCGGCGCTAAATTGCGTGTAGTTGATCGTTTCTACCAACTCTTTTTGCGGGCACGTTTCGAATGAACGCGAGACATTCAACGGAATGTAATATGGCACTGAATTTGTTACTTTATGCACAGTGATGACTTTTACTGTGGAGTTTTTTGATCTAATTTTTGTGTGTCATAGACCAGTCGCAGTGCAACTCCGTAAATCGATGTCGTACGCTAAAACAAACGCATATGCTATAGTTGTCTTAGATCGTGAAATGTGTGCTAATATCTGCTAATCTGTAATTTTTTGCTACTGTTCAAGCTGTACACTTAGAACACGACACTACAGCGGAAGTTGTGTTTTTAGGAGGTATCAAGTGACCAGGTGGAAAAAGAATTTTGGAAGAACCTCATCGATATCGAAAATACTGTGTCAGTTAAATATGGTGCCGACTTATTAGTCACTAAGGTAACTTTGCCTTAATGTATGGAGCATCTCTTTTTTTCGTTCAACAGATTACGTCAACATTTTTAAGGTTGGCAGTGGTTTTCCAATGCGTGATTATGATTTCGGCAAAATAAATCAGCGTGAACGTGCCATGTATGTGAATCATCCGTGGAATCTTAACAATGTTGCTGTTTTGAAGGATTCTGTGCTCAATTACTTTGAGACTGGAATATCTGGTGAGTTTACTTTGATGTGCTGTAGAACAGAAAAGATTGTTTTTCAGTTCTGTAAGGCAGCAGGCATCGATTGAGCACTGAATTAGCAGAAGCGCAATGCGCTCATCCATCTCTGAGAAATTCCGAAACAGTCCGTTTTGTTGAAGTCAAAAATTGTCTGCGTTCTTCTTCCGTAAGAGGCGGACAGTCAGAAGTAACTGAAATGGTGGTACGTTTCAACAGCAACCGCCTGCCGACGAGATTCCCGATGGTTCTGTCTTTCGAGGGAGTTTTGAAAACAAGCAGATGGCGGATTTGTTTTTGTGGCATGTGCCAGTACCCATTTGCCACTGAAACGAATGAAATGGATGGATTGGTTTCTCCACTGGATGAGTGGAACCTTCAAATCTCAAAATGAGAGCAGTGCTGCCTCTCATTGCGCAAAGCCTGGCAGGTGTCTCCAGATTTCACCCTTTCTGTGTGAGAAAAAAACTCTCGGATGTAACTCAAGTAATAAATAGCACTGCGCCAGCAACTTTTTAATGTCAGTGGCTTCTTCCTTGGGAAGTTAGTTGAGGAGCAGAATGAAGGCAGTGTAACTCCTCCACAACATGCATATAATGCACGCATCAATCTGACACTGAAAGAAGTGGGCAAATTTTGTTAGGATTGCTTTTTCTTTTGCGCACAGGCATCTGTTTTTCCACTGGGGTGCATCGGCTCGACTCCGGAAGAGCCCAATAGGCAACTTTAATAATTCAACAGCGCACCGACTGCCGATGCAGTGATGCGCATCGACCACAGTTACCCCGCAAGTTTTTGCCGCTGACGGCACTGTTTTTTCCCCCAGAAGCTTGTGGGTAAAAGAAGTGAGACTGGCCACTACGATTATCAGAAATCATTACATTGACTCGCAGTAAACTCTGTCATGACCATGCTCAAAAAATCCAGCTTTCTAGGTGTTTTGGTTGCGAAATTATATCGAGTTTCACATGTTCGTACATGAAAAAGACATGAATGTTTCTTCCACGCGTGTCTGTCCAAATACGGTTCTGGGCCATGCTCAGAAAATTTCAGCGCTGTAGCTCCTCAGGGTTGCGGGATTACGTCAGATTTCACATGTCCGTACTTGAGATGCATAGGGGCTGGTAAGCTCAGTCTACTTTCACGTGCATAATGCTGCAAAATTACAGCTGTGTGCAACTTCCTGCTCAGCTTAATTCTCGAGTTGGCGTGATACCAGTTTAAAAGACGTACATACTTGAAACCCAGGGCTGGCTGAAGGCTGAATTTAAAATGTTTGGGTTGGGACGTGGACAAGGGACATCACTTGGAGTTTCAGATTCCTAGCTTACGTGGTTCCCGAAATCGCTTTCCCACCAAAACATCCCTTACGTGCCCGTTCGTGAGAATTAAGTGAACATGAATGTTCATTTTGTGTATCTGGGCCCGTACATAGATTTAGATTAAGTCACCAAAGTTCCAGCCTTGTAGCTTTGTAGGTCTCAAGATGAAAACTCGGTACAGACGCACACACAGACAACTGCTCGATAATATGCGTTTTTGCATTACATCGATCCAAAAAAACGCATAGAAATTGCATTTCTTCTCTTGTCGCCTTGCATGTTTCGAAAATAGCGCTGCGTTGTGTACCTTCAGTTGTATTGCAGGTATGACATTGCCGTGGGTGTACGTTGGGATGTGCTTCAGTGCATTTTGTTGGCATACCGAGGATCACTGGACCTACAGCATCAACTATCTCCACTGGTACATCATTTTTATGCGTTTTTTGCAGTAAAGCAATGCGAAAAACGCATATTGACGAGAGGTTGTTTGTGTGTGTGTGTGTGTGTGTGTGTGTCTGTGTGTGTGTTTGTGTGTGTGTGTGTGTGCGTCTGTGTGTGCGCTGGGCCTCTGTACCGATTTCTCATCTCGAGTCCGGCAAAAGCTACGGGGCTGAAACTTTGGGGACATAATCTACATACACGTACGGGCCCCCATCCC